TGTCAGATTTCTGTACATTGCACGACTCTCACGAATGATTAACATGGAATACTAAACTTAGTTTTTCGTCTTTTTTCCCAAAGCTTTCGTTCTGGCTTGCAAGTATTAAACGCGGTGTTTCTTTTATACATTCCTCCCCCCCCCACCCCCCGGGGGGGAATTTAAGATTTTCATGGGGGGGGGGGCAGTGCCAGTGGCTAAAGGCGAAACTAAAGGGTGGCGGGTGTGACATACGTAAAAATAAAGTTTTTCGTCTTTTTTCCCAAAGCTTTCGTTCTGGCTTGCAAGTATTAAACGCGGTGTTTCTTTTTTACATTCCTCCCCCCCCCACCCCCCGGGGGGGAATTTAAGATTTTCATGGGGGGGGGGGCAGTGCCAGTGGCTAAAGGCGTAACTAAAGGGTGACGGGTGTGACATACGTAAAAATAAATCACGCTCCCTGACGCCCAACACTCAAGCTAAGCACCTTCCAGTGGCATAGAAAGGGGGAGAATGAGGCTGTTCACCCATTTCTCACTTTTTTAAAACCACTTTTATTCATGAAACTTTGTTAAAAATTAAGCACATTTAAAGAAAACATAAAGGCTTCGATATAAAAATTAATAAAATGTACACTATTGGTATGCGCGCGTTAAATTCTAAATATTAAAAAAAATATCTCTTAATTTTTTAAGGTTCCCATTTATTTAACTCAACATTCAAGGAATTGAGTGCATTCACAAATGTGCTAAATAAAAATATATTTTAAAGCCTAATATCATACACTTTAGAATTAATACCTATCCCTAGTTTAAAAGCAATACCCTTACAATGAAATATAAATGGAACATAGATTACTTATGTTTGATACTTGGCAACAACTATTATTAGAATTGAAGTTCTTAATGTAAAAGAATTTGAATACAGTGTTATTATCGTCTTTAAATTTGGGAATTTGCAAAAAATGAATGAATAAAAATATCGATCTGTGCGAACAATGAAAAGTAAGACTTTTGCTTATGATGAGGAGCGGTCAGTACGCCATTTATAATTTAATACTATAAGCCTTTATGAAGGTTAGCCTTAAATAAATGGATCATCAACTATATCGAGCGTAGATATATTTAATAGATTCCACTAATTGTAATCGGATAAGGCAACAGATACTATTCTTTTTAAAACTGTTTAAAAATGACAATTTTTTTGTTTTTATGTTTAAAAAATGTATAATCGTTGTATTGCTTTAACACATTTGGCTCCGTGGTTGGGGCATTTGACTTTTCCCGGGGGGTAGTCCCCCCCCCCCCCCGGGGGTACCTTGAAAAACATTAAAAAATAAAAATTTTTTTTTTTTTTTTTTTAAAAATGGTTAAATGTTTTTTTTGTTTAAAACACTTTGGCCCCGGGGTGGGGCATTTTTACTTTCCCCGGGGGGAGTCCCCCCCCCCCCCCCGAGAGATACCTGAAAAAACTTTGATTAAACAGAAAGATTATCCGGCCCGCGCTCGTCTTTCTGTCCGTTATCCGGCCCACAGTGAAAAAAGTTTGGTGACCACTGCACAATAGAGTATAGGAACACGACTTTAGCGTTGCTACATATTTTACAGTTTAAATTGCTATAAATTCTGTGAATTCAAGTTTCTTCTTGACTTTATAATTGGTATAATTTCCCGGAGGTTACCATCAAGAGACGTTATTTCGGAATCTATTCTATTCTATGTATTTTTCTCAAAGTCATGTCGTGATTTCGATATTACAACATGTAGCTAACCTTTTTATTTGTGTTATGTTTTAATTTGTTGTTTGTGAATTTTGTCATCGTATTTGATACAGTGGGACTGCGCTTCTATAACGGAATAGTTATGTGCTACATAAACTTGGCTCGCGTTAAAACTGTGCCTCTTTAATGTGGAGTTTTGGCGCCATTTTGTGACACCAGTGTAGTTTCATGCCATAATTAAAATCGTCTTGTTAAAAAAAAATTGACAACCACTAATATTATTTTTTTTACAGACTTTCATTATTCACACATTTTCTTTTCATAATTGTTGGTTTGTTTGTTTTTAACTGTATAATTTAAGAGTCATCTTCATAGACCCAAACATGTTAAATAAATATATATTATGATTCTTCACTGTTTTGAACTAATTATTTTAAAATATATGGAATACGTATTCATACAATGTATTTTACTCTACGTGTCTGTCAGTTTGATGTAAGCTTGATCTTTCAAATAGCATTTCATCTTCCCCAAAAACAAACCAGTAAAAAAAAATGCAAAGAAATAAAGTGTCTTAAATACAATACTAAAAATTTATGACAGATTTTGTAAAAAATTTTAAAGAACTAAACCTTTATAAATAATTTTGCCAGGTTTATGTTTTAGTTCTAGGCCTGGGTGGTGGTGTTTTGGAGATAAAACAGTGATTTACTGGTGAGAAGTTTCAGTAACCTCCGATCTTTGCAGAAAGATTGTTGTGAATCACTGATGCCAATCTTTAGACCTTCATATCTGACAACGACATTTGATAACATTAGGGGGTTGGGGTAATTAGGGGGTTGGGGTAATTAGGGGGTTGGGGTAATTAGGGGGTTGGGGTAATTAGGGGGTTGGGGTGCTGACTTTTCTAGCACCTATTTATAATTAAATACCCCCAGCTGAAAATGTAAACTACAATTAGGGTCACAGCTGTGACATATGGAGACTTTGGGGATATCTTAGGAAGATCTTAATAGTTAACTGTAGCAGTATAATTTTGTGTGTGCCAGTTTGATTGAAATCAATTGAGACACACAAATATATAAATATAACGAACGAGTTTATTGCAGCCCTGTTGGAATGATTGTGTTGGGATTCTGTGCTATAATAAAATTGTGTAGTAATGTGAGGACGATCATAAAGATCACAGAAGTGAACATATATAGATCTTCTTAACTGTATGTGAAGTGGTTAATTTATTATGCATATTCAGTTTTATTGATATAAGGTGCCAGTGACGGGTTACATCAAGTCACTCGATAATTGATTTTAATTACGTTGATGGTGTCTTGATGTGGCAGTGACAGTTATAGACTTAGCTAAATATCATCCCTGCATCACCAAAAACTGAGTGACAGTTAAATTAACAAAATATGAAATTTACAACCAGTCTTGGTCCTTAAAATGGATAAATGCAGCATGTTTACCTGGTCCTTAACAGGGATAAATACAGATTATCTAATTGGTCCTTAACATGGATAAATACAGATTATCTAATTGTTCCTTAACATGGATAAATACAGATTATCTAATTGTTCCTTAACATGGATAAATACAGAATATCTAATTGGTCCTTAAAAAGGATAAATACAGATTATCTAATTGGTCCTTAACATGGATAAATACAGATTATCTAATTGTTCCTTAACATGGATACATACAGATTATCTAATTGGTCCTTAACATGGATAAATACAGATTATCTAATTGGTCCTTAACATGGATAAATACAGATTATCTAATAGGTCCTTAACATGGATAAATACAGATTATCTAATTGGTCCTTAACATGGATAAATACAGATTATCCAATTGGTCCTTAACGTGGATAAATGTATCATGTCTCCTTGAAACAAGTCGCCTGACACAGGATGCACAGTTGCATGAAGGCACAGTCTGCTCGAGGTGCACAGTTGCATGATGGCACAGTCTGTTCGAGGGGCACAGTTGCATAATGGCACTGTCTGCTAGAATCTCCAACAGGACTCACATATGTATGAGAGTCTGCTTTCACAATCAGAAGACACACAGTTGCATGATGACACAGTCTGATTACATTAGACACAAAGTTGCATAATGGAATAGTCTGCTTACACAGGACACACAGTTGCACAATTGCAGTATAATGATACACAGTTGCATCAATGCTTGTTAGACGAAATGTTGAACCTCACCATAAAAAGCTCTTGGTTTTATTAGTTTCTAGTAACTTTAAAAAGCTCTCTAAAATCATTACAAATGATATTTTAAAGTTTCGAAAGGATTTTTTTTTTTTTGAGGAAAATGTCCATTAACAAAATAAATTTTAAAGCAAAAGTAAATTATTCGGTCGTGAATCTATTTTAAGTTGCCTTTATGTACAGTGTTGGCTCCATTTGGTTTTGAGAAAGGAATGTTTTATATTAAAAAGGTTTATAGCTACCTGCATATGACTGATATAAAAATAATTTTAAAACGAACATAATAGCTCAAATAGCTAAAGATGCCATAGTGTTCAGTGATGGCTCCATATCTTTTACCAAAGAGCGATGTCCAATTAATGTTTTAGAAAAATTATTTTTAGGAGTTATATTAAATTTTCAAAAGTACAAGATTAACAGTAAGTCTGGTAATATAATATGACACTATTCAATGGATTTTGATCAAAGTACTTTACTTTTCTTACAGAACATATAATCTCATTTAAAAATAGAACATGTTGATAGGTGCAGCGTATGGAAAGCAGTAAAAAAGTCACCTGCAATTTTGAAAAATGCATAAAAAATTCTTAAATGTCATTGACAGATAAAGCAATAATTGTAAATTGTCTACATACGTTTGTTCATTTTTTTAAAATTTACGTATGTTCATTTCTTTTATCTATAACCGTTTGTTCATTCCATTTGTCTTTATAAATTAGTTCATTTAAATTGTCTATCTACATTTGTTAATTTCATTTGTCTATAATATAGGTTACTTCTTTTTATTAGTCAATGTATAAATTTTTTCATTTCATTTGTCTATATAAGTTAGTTCTTTTAATTTGTCAATATATACATTTGTTCATTTAATTTGTCTATATAGGTTAGTTCTTTTCATTTGTCAAAATATACGTTTGTTGATTTCTCTGGTCTATTCTATCTAGGTTTGGTCTACTTAGTTTCGGACGTTTAGGAATCTTTGCTAACCCTCCTGTCTGAAGTATCGGAGAAAGACTTCTTGTCAGACCTGTCGGAAAATTCTGACAATCGTCTCTTATCAGACCCATCAGAAACATCCGATGCCCGTTTATTATCAGACTTTTCGTCCCGCTGTCGTCTCTTATCAGACTTTTTCGAATGATCAGAGAGTCTTTTCTTGTCAGACTTTTCGGACTTATCAGAATTTCGTTTCTTATCTGATTTTTTGGAAAGTCGCTCGGACTTTTCTGAATGATCTGACAGTCGTCCTTCGTCAAGCTTATCAAATCCGCCTTTCTTGTCTCCCTTTTGAGAGGTCCCTAGTTGTCCTTTCTTGTCTGATTTCCCCGAACTATATGAGCTCGCTTCCGTGTCTGGCTTCTTCTTAGATCGTTCGTCTGACGTTGACTTCTGTTTACCTCCCGAAAGATCTGATTTGCCGCTGCCTTCGGCCCCTAGGCTTACAAGGGATTCCTTCCTGGATGACTTCTTACGTGAGATGGAGGACCTGCGTGAGGTAACGGGTGACGTCTCCATCCCTTCCCTTGTAGAGGTGCGCCGGGCGAGTGCGTGATCCGACGTTTCGACACCGGTTCCTGTACTCTGACGGGATTTCTCAGAGCCAGAATGAGATAAGGTTTTTTTACGAGTTCTTTGTGTGGCGGCCTTGCCGATGAGAACTTGCTGTATGTTGGGGTCGATAGGGTCAAAGATCAAGTCAGATGTGTCGACAATTTTGTCGTATTCACGTGCTAGCCTAAGGCCAGTTAATTCAATACCTGAGCACAAAAGAGAGACAGAATGAGCTTATGCTTACTTTACGATTTTAAACTTTTATTTTGTACCTACCTTCTATTGCCATTCAATGCTCCTCTAATTACCTAAATTTAACATTATTGATGCCGTTATAACGTAGTTGTACGCTAATTATCGAGACGCTCCCCTGACTAGAGCCGTTATGAAGTATACCTTACAAACAGATGTTAGGAGTCGTGTTGTAAAACTTTTAGTTTATAAATAAAGGTGATGAGTTGTACCGCTACCAAATTAACTTGTGGCCGAGCTGTCTAAGCTGTTTCAAACCAAATAGCTGGTGGTCTGGAGTTCAATCCCCACCAAAGCCGGCATCCCAAGCACCCCGGGTGGATGGGACTCGGTAGCCTTGGAAGGCAGCCCATCTAAGAGAAGGCAAACTCTGAATTTAAACAAGGAGCCAGAATGGTCAACACATTGATCGTGAGCCCCTCAAATATAAGAAGAAGAAGAAGATTTAATATGTGGATTGTGGCAATCAGCTGATGGCGTGACTAGTATTTAGGGCCGTCCATTAATTAGGTCAACAAAATTAGGGGGAGGGGATTCGGAAATGTTTGACAATTCTTGACAAGGGGAGGGGGGAGTTAGATTAGTTGACGTCAACAATCATGTTTTCTCTATTAAAGTTTTAATCTTAAAAACTGACTGGTTATACATTATTTTAACAAAATGAATGGGTTTTAATAAAAATACAGTTATATAATTTTGGGGCTTTTAACAATATAATAGTTGTTTTATGTGTGTCTGTGCACTGCAGATGGCTGGTCAGAATATCAGCACATTTAGCTAAAGCAAGAAAAGTAAAAATTGGCCTCTCTTCGACTGTAGATTCTGTTTTTCAAGGTTCAAGAGTCATTTGCAGTCAAAATAAACGATATTGATAGAGTAGGAATGCGACATTTTGAGAATTAGGGGAAAATAAAGTCAGTAGCAATAATAACATCGCTGCTTGAACGGCTTTGCAAAATCTGTAACATCTATTTTGCATCACACGTCATGTTGAAATAGCATGTTCAACAGAACCGACAATGCATAAGAAACTACCACCTGCTCCTCAACAAAAAAAGATTCTATTTATGCAAGTAGCAGGAGACAGAGAGAGATCTTATGGCAATTATTGCTCACATTGACAATGCTTTTATTCTAAGTGCTGAATGGTTAGATGAGGATGATGTTGACTTGTCTGGTATATCAGTTCCACAAGATGAAAATGATGTATCGATAACCCATTGTTACGATAGAGCAACAACTAGCTACTCCCTGGGAAGATGATAACAGCTAGAAATTATGCTACAATAGTCAGCAATACTAGCAATAATCATATTTATACTTCCACAAACAATGATATTAAGTTTTTAACAACCTTTTCACCTTTTCATTGATTCTGCATTGTAAAATTTAATTGTAAAACTTTTTAACTTGTTGATTAACAAGCTAAAGATGCAATATAATGTTCTTCCTACAATTTTGTGTTGTTAAAATAGATCAGCACGAAGTAAATATATTTTATGTATTTATTTTTATTATAATTTATTTATTTTGTTGGTGGGGGGGTATAAAAATGTTGACATAATTACTTGGGGTGTCATTGAAAGTTTGACAGTTTTTGTCAAGGGGGAGGGGTCAAACATTGCTTTAAATTTGTTTACGTAATTAATGGACGCCCTTGTATAGTTACTTTGGAATTAAGATGCGTCTTGTGGCAATCAGCAACAAATCATCAGATATTAACTGTTACCAACATGTCTTTGACATAATCTTAACAGCTCGAACAAAAATGTATTTATTTATTTAGGCATTTTTATATAGCGCTTACAATAATTAAAGCTCTAAGCGCTTTACAATAATTAAAAACATGTAAACTAACTAAAATAAAAATTAGACATTAGACATTATCTACTGTATTATAGAAACAATTAAAATGGCTATAAAACGAGGACACTTTGGCACGTTTTGGCCTATATTACAGGATTAACCCGAGACAGAAAATGAGGCAGGGCAAGGAGGGTGCATCACAGGTCATAGGCGGACCTAAACAGATGTGTTTTAAGGGACTTTTGAAAAGTGGACGAGGTTTCACAATGACGGATATAAAAATAAAGAAAGAATATTTAGATTATAAGCTGTACATTAAGTTTAAATTTAAACAAAATGTATGCAAATTCATTAGTTGTTTTTTTTTTCAGAGCACATTGTTACAATCAAACCACAAAGCGTAAGGTGGACTCGATTTATTTTTTATTTTTTTGTAGTTGTGCCCTATGACCATCCACATCAAAACAAGAACTATTTACAGAATTGTTCAGTGCATCCACACCAAAACAAGAACTCTCTAAAGAAATTTTCCGAGAAGTCTTGGATTACTCAAAGAAAACTACGATATCAGAATAGAATCCTGAAAATTTTCGAAATCAAGTAACTTAGGAAGGTTAGGGAAACATTTTAACAAAAATTCAATTTCCAATGAATAATTGAGACGCCGGCATGGAGCTGTACTCATTTAAAAACGTTGTAATCACACATTTCATAGCCGTGCTCAATATAAAAGTAATCCAATACTTAGAGTTATATTCTCTTACGTTTATCACGGATTGCCTTTTTTCGGAACCACAAGTCGTCTCGAGATTTTGCGATTTCTAGGGAAGAGAAATCATCATAATAATTTCGAAATTATCTTAACTGAAACCCATTAAATTTCATTTTGGAATGTACTTAAATGTTAGAAGTGTTGTAAAGAAATTACAATTTTAAATAAAATTAATTTTATGACTAAATTCGAGAATAAAATGCTTCTCCATTTTGAAGTCCATAAAAGACAAATCTCTTGAACTTACTGAGTTGTGATGGGGAGGACTCTGTGATTCTTGGCTCGTCACCTCCATCGCTCACTTGAAATTATCAAGACGGTACAGGGTGACAGAAATAAAATAAAATGTTCATGGTTACAGATAGCTGGTCTCGGAGAAGCAGAAACATACTTGAGGAGAAAGAAACAGACTGAACAAGACGTGAACAGACAATTAGGAAAAACCAGAAAGAAGAAGGAAGAAATTGACATAATAAGAAAGAACTAGACATAAGAAGAAAAACATATAACAGAAGAAAAAACACACGAACGGAGAAAAAACAGACAGAAGAAGACAGAAGCAGACAGAATGAGAAATAAACAGACAGATGGAGAAAAACGGACATTAGGAGAAATAAACAGACATTAGGAGAAAGAAACGGACAGGAGAGAAAATACACTCAGAAGGAGAAAGAAAAAGATAGAAGGATAAAAAACAGATAGAAGTAGAAAAAATAAATTAGATTTTAAAAAATGAAAAGATAGAAGAGACAGAAAAGTAAAATGTGAGAAAGAAAGGGAGAGAGAACAGTCTTAAAATTCGATATATTTCAGATAAACTATAAACATTAAATTACATAAGACTATAATTGATCAACACTAGGAAATCAATGACAGTTACTCTACACATGTAAGTGTAACAAGTACAAAATTAATGCCGGCAACTCTAAGGTTAATGGTAAATACTTGTATTTTATAAACTGCAGCTTTATAAAGAGTTGTAATAATCTTGACCACATACAACTGTATCTACAACTCTGCAAAGATTAATGTGATGCTTGAAAATTATAACAACCAACTAAAACAACCACCGACAGCCTTAGAACCCAATAAAAGACGACAACAGAACAAAATAAATGACGTCAGCAGAACCCAATAAATGACGGTAGCAGAACCCAGTAAATGACGGCAGCATAACCCAGTAAATGACGGCAAAAGAACCCAGTAAATGATGGCAAGAGAACCCAGTAAATGACGGCAACAGAACCCAGTAAATGATGGTAAAAGAACCCAGTAAATTATGGCAGCAGAACCCAGTAAATGACATAAAAAGAACCCGGTACATGATGGCAAAAGAACCCTGTAAATGACTGCAACAGAACACAGAAAATGATGGCAACAGAACGCAGTAAATGATGGCAACAGAACCAAGTAAATGACGGCAACAGAACTCAATAAATGATGGCAACCGAACCAAGTAAATGATGGCAAAAGAAATCCAGTAAATGATTGCAAAAGAACCCAGTAAATGATGGCAACAGAACCCAGTAAATGATGGCAACAGAACGCAGTAAATGATGGCAACAGAACCCAGTAAATGATGGCAACAGAACCCAGTAAATGATGGCAACAGAATCCAGTAAATGATGGCAACAGAACCCAGTAAATGATGAAAACAGAACCAAGTAAATAAAGGAAAGTGAACCCAGTAAAAGATGGCAACAGCACCCAGTAAATGATGGCAACAGAACCAAGTAAATGATGGCAAAAGAAATCCAGTAAATGATTGCAAAAGAACCCAGTAAATGATGGCAACAGAACCCAGTAAATGACTGAGAAAGATCCCAGTAAATGATGGGCACAGAACACATTAAATGATAGCAACAGAACCAAGTAAATGACGTCAAAAGAACCCAGTAAATGATGGCAACAGAACCAAGTAAATGAAGGAAAGTGAACCCAGTAAAAGATGGCAACAGAACCCAGTAAATGATGGCAACAGAACCCAGTTAATGATGGCAATAGAATCCAGTAAATGATTGCAACAGAACCCAGTTAATGATTGCAACAGAACCCTGTAAATGATGGCAAGAGAACAAAGTAAATGACGGTAAAAGAACCCAGTAAATGATGGAGGGGACCGGTGCCCGTGCGCCAGACTAGCGGGAGCCAAAAAAGTCCTTTGATAGTATTTAGTGGATAAAGATAATGGATTTCAGAAATAAACCGGGGGTGGGTTTAAATGAACCTTTTCCCCTGGTGCCAAACACTCTAGCTAGCAGCGTAGAAGGGGTGCAGATGGGTTTGTCCTACTAGGTGTCTTTTTTTTTCTTTAT